CCTGGAAATTTCTCCTCCACCCTTAGTAACCTGAACTTGAAATGAAATCTTCATTCTTCCAGAAGGGACAGTGAAAGATACTGCTCAGATCCAAAATAAGAAGACCTGCCTTGCCAAGACTCTGAAAAAGTGCTGCAGAGGTATGTCTGAATTGCTCAGGATCTCTCTGTGATGTATTATGTGCTTATACAAACTCCACCAAACAGCATTACTTGTGATTGCCAGGAAACCCTTGAGCAAAATAATTTGAACTTTATCAGCACCCTGTTAATTCAGGTGGTTGTCATGGATTCTTATGGGCTATTCAATCATCCAGGCAGTTGAACATAACATATTAAATTTGCAATAATACAATAAATCCACCTTTGAGGCCCTTAGCGTTAGATGCAAAGTGTGGTGGCCGCATGGCTTAAAGCACTGGTACTTGCTCTGCTTGTTCACGTGAATTTGGCAGGATAATGTAATGGGAGACTTTATTGCCAAATAGGGGTATAATCTCTCTGTGCCACTCTGGCTTCATGCCAGATTGGATATCAACATTTTTTGTGGCTAGGTTAGACACAGACACCCACAAAAGTGTTGAATTTTGTTTTCCATCTAAGTAGACACGGATGTGGTGGTGGTGGTTTCATAGAATCATAGAACGGTTTGGGTTGGTAGGGACCTTAAAGATCATCTAATTCCACCCCCTCCTGCCATGGGCAGAGATACCTTTCACTAGACCAGGTTGCTCAAAGGCCCATCCAGTCTGGCCTTGAACACTTCCAGGGATGGGACATCCATGCCTTCTCTGGGCAACCTGTTCCAGTGCCTCACCACCCTCACAGTTAAGAATTTCTTCCTTATATCTAATCTAAATCTACCCTCTTTCAGCTTAGTGCCATTACCCCTTGTCCTGTCACTACACTCCCTGATAAAGAGTCCCTCTGCATCTTTCCTCTAGGCCCTCTTTAAGTACTGGAAGGCTGCTATAAGGTCTCCATGGGGCCTTCTCTTCTCCAGGATGAACAACCCCAACTCTCAGCGTGTCTTCATAGGAGAGGTGCTTCAGCCCTCTGATCATCTTTGTGGCCCTCCTCTGGACTCACTCCAACAGGTCCATGTCCTTCTTATATCAGGGACCCCAGAGCTGAATGCAGTACTGCAGATGGGGTCTCACTATAGTGGAGTAGAGGGTGAGAACCACCTCCCTTGACCTGCTGGTCACGCTTCTTTTGATGCAGCCCAGGATACGGTTGGCTTTCTGGGCTGCAAGCACACATTGCTGGGTCATGTTGAGCTTCTTAGCAACCAATACCTCCCTCAGGGCTGCTCTCAATCCATTCTCTGCCCAGCCTGTATTTGTGCTTGGAATTGCCCTGACCCATGTGCAGGACCTTGCATTTGGCCATGTTGAACTTCACGAGGTTCACACAGGCCCACCTGTCCAGCCTGTTAAGGTTCCTCTGGATGGCATTCCTACTTTCCAGTGTGTTGACCACACCACACAGCTTGGTGTCATCGGCAAACTTGCTGAGGGTGCACTCAATCCCACTATTCATGTCACCAACAAAGATGTTAAACAGTGCCGGTCCCAATACCGACCCCTGTGGAATACTGCTCGTCACTCTGCTTGGACATCAAGCCATTGACTGCAACTCTTTGAGTGCAACCATCCAGTCAATTCCTTATCCACCAAGTGGTCCATCCATCAAATCCACGTCTCTCCAATTTAGAGACAAGGATGTCATGCAGGACAGTGTCAAATGCTTTGCACAAGTCCAGGTAGATGATGTTAGTTGCTCTTCTCTTCTCCACTAATGCTGTTATCCCATCGTAGAAGGCCACCAAATTTGTCAAGCACAGTTTACCTTTAGTGAAGCCATGTTGGCTGTCACCAGTCACCTCCTTATTTTCCACATGCCTTAGCATAGTTTCCAGGAGGATCTGCTCCGTGATCTTGCTGAGCACAGAGGTGAGGCTGACTGGCCTGTAGTTCCCCGCGTCTTCCTTTTTTCCCTTTTTAAAAATGGGCATTACGTTTCCCCTTTTCCAGTCAGTGGGAACTTCACCAAACTGCCACAACTTCTCAAATATGATGGATAGTGGCTTAGTAACTTTATCCACCAGTGCCCTCAGGACCCACAGATGCATCTCATCAGGTACCACGGACTTGTGCACCTTCACATTCCTTAGATGGTCTCGAACCTGATCTTCTCCTACAGTGAGCAGTTCTTCATTCTCCCAGTCCCTGTCTTTGCCTTCTAAGACTTGGACAGTGTGGCTTGAGCACTTGCCAGTGAAGACTGAGGCAAAAAAGTTGTTGAGTACCTCAGCCTTCTCCATATCCCAGGTAACCAGGTCTCCCATTTCCTTCCAGAGAGGGCCTGCATTTTCCCTAGCCTTGCTTTTATCAATGACATACCTATAGAAGCTTTTCTTGTTGCCCTTGACATCACTGACCAGATTTAATTCTATCAGAGCTTTAGCTTTCCTAAGCTGATCCCTGGCTGCTTAGACAATTTCTCTGTATGCCTCCCAGGCTACCTGTCCTTGCTTCCACCCTCTGTAGGCTTCCTTTCTGAATGTGAGTTTGTCCAGGAGCTCCTTGTTCATCCATGCAGGCCTCCTGGTGTTTTTGCCTGACTTCCTCTTTGTTGGGATACATCACTCCTGAGCTTGGAGGAGGCGCTCCTTGAATATTAACCAGCTTTCTTGGGCCTCTCTTCCCTCCAGGGCTTTATTCCATGGTACTCTACCAAGCAGATCCCTGAAGAGGCCAAAGTCTGCTCTCCTGAAGTCCAGGGTAGTGAGCTTGCTGTGCACCCTCGGTGCTCTAAGGATCTCGAACTCCACCATTTCATGGTCACTGCAATCAGATGTGCTCTGATTTTGCAGCAAATATTCCCTTTTCATACAAAGGTGAAAACTGTATTCCCGCAAACGAAAATTTTGCACTAAATTGTGTACAAGGAAGAATAGCTACTTTGAGTGGAGACTGCAATTGAAAATACAATTCAGGCCCGGGACTGGTGTGAGAGGGGAGAGCCCACTGAAGGTAAATGGCCTGCAGTGACTGGCATCAGTAAAGTGTGTGACTTACATGTATGTGCTGTGACATTTGTGGGGGAAAAGGGTATCGTGCTAGGATGTAACTGCTAGGCAAATTACCCTGAAATAAATGATACCAGACACGGGGACAAACTCTGATGGCATTCTTGCTTCCAACAAATTTTCATAAACTGCATTTGAAAGAAAACCCTCGCTTTTATGCAGTAAAGCCAAAGCAGTATGTCCTAGCCCAGCTGTTCAGGTTACAGTGCGTATGATATACCCTGATTCCCTCTCTGCTTGTTTTTTCTCTCTCTCTCCCTTCAGATGGCCAGTAACCCATGTGCCAGGCAGCCCCAGCTGGCACTCGCCGAGCCAGCCGGAGTTGGCCCCTGCCACTGAGGTGGGAAGGAGGGAGGAATCGCCCCAGCCTGCGCCATGGCCTCGGCCCGGCACGCCGGCCCTCCCGACGGAGGCTGGGGGTGGATGATCGTTGCTGGCTGCTTCCTTGTCACTATCTGTACCAGGGCCGTGACGAGGTAAAGGGGCTGCTTCTTGTCTTTCTGACCTGGTTGCAGCATTACCCCCTTTTTTTTTCCCCCCTTAGGAAGAGGATTTGGGATCTCCCCTGATGTCCCACAGCTGCAGTGGTTATTCTGGCTAGCTACAAACCTCTCTCTTGCTACAGTTTTAAAGGCTTCCGGAAATCCCTAAGGCTGTGGGGATGGCTGAGGGATTATGATCTGTCTGGTTTTAGTCTCGCCTCTTCTGACAGCTGCTCTATCTCTCAACACCCTCTCTTTGATTTTTTTTCAGAATCAAAGCCTCGGGCAGGCAGCATTATTTCAGGCTGTGTGGTTTGGTCGGGGAGGGAGGAATCATGTAGGGTCTCTTCGGGTGTGTTGTGTCCCTCTGACCCCACAGCCATGCTCATTTTTGCTAGTCCCAGTGGATTTGCTTGGCTCCTGTGTCTATCTGAGAAACCTGTAAATACCCGCTTCTCCTGCTTCAAGCATTTCGGGTGCTATCCAGCCTGAGAAGGTCCGTGCCCTAGAGAGGAGGCCCCTCTCTATACCCTTCTGGTATCCAAAATATGCAGAACATATTTTCTCAAAAATAGAAAGAACAGGAATAGACTGCTGCCTTGCATAAACATAATGTATACATCTGGGGTGAGATGGCTTCCACAGCTGCTGTTGGGTGACTTTGATGTCAGCTGGAGACAGAGGAGCCTGGTGTGTGTGTGAACATGGACATTTAAGCTATATTAAGCAGAGAGATGGGCACACTAGTAAGTGAGGAATACTGAGACAGTGTCTTGTTGGACAGTCAGTATAATGTAAATACAGTGTTTCCTACCTAAATTTTACATTTCCTTTAAAATAAAGCTGCTAGGTTTAGGGATCTAAAGTCTAGGTTCTTGGTGTCAACAGCATAAAAGGGGCATGGAAATGTTGACACAGTGTTAGTTTATGTATGCAAATGTACCAATTCCGCAATAACAGTAGAGATTTCCTAGTGGATTTAATTCCTTTTTCACGTGTGAAATGCGTAACATCCAAGAAATCATCCAATGGCTAGCATACATCTGGAGTACATACAAGAATGAAGCATGTGCAAGAAAAAAGCTGAAGAAAGTGGTTGTTTGTTGATTTGCAGGAGGAAAAAAAAGAGAGGGGGGAAAAGGGACCTCTTGCTGATCCACAAACCAGAATGAAACTATGCAGCTTTTTAATTCCCCTGCAGAGAGAGGTAGAACAGTAACACTTGTTAACCAGAGCAAAGTAGCCTCACCTAGAAGCATTTTAATAAACTGTTGGAAGGTCCATGGGCTCCTGCTGTGTTTTGGTTCTCTGTTCATGAGTTGTTTTTTCACTTGCTTTGCACTTGTGCATCCATGAACACATAGCTATAGGTGGTGGTGGCTCTATAGGTACTACGCTGGCCCTGCCCTGCCAGTTTGTGCAGATGTGAATGCCACCATTAGCAAGCAACCAGGTCAGTGAAGAACTGAGGAGCTGGGGCTTTGCATACCAGGGAAGCAACATGAGGATGTGGGCTATAAATTGCCGGTGATAATTACAACATCAATTTCATTTCAGTTAAAAATAATACGAGTTATAAAAATCTATCAGCCGATACCACAGTGAGAAACGTGGTATTATAATGTTCATAATCTCTCTGGAGTAATTATCTGGCTGAATTAAGTTCTACATCAGCCGAATTGTCTAAATCCACTGTTGGGATAATAGTTGGACACCAGTTTGTGATTCAGTTGTTGCCAGTGCAAAGCAACTATTCTCCTCTGGTTGAATCACCCTAGCCTAGGTTCCTTACACAGAGTACTGTTGGAATTATTCAACTTGCACACATCATTTCATGTCTTGTCCCTCATTAAGATAGCCCTTCATTTCCAAAATCCCTTAGAAACTGTTTAAAAATTTCTCCATTTCGTTGGGATTTAGGCAAACCACAGATTTGATTTTCCTGGGAGCTGGAGAGGACCTTCAAGTAGGTACTCTTTACACCTAAAGAGCAAGACCAGTGTTTTCTGTGACGCAAATATCCCACGTTCAACAGATTGGTGTTCATGTTTTCTTTCCTAGGTGCATCTCCATTTTTTTTGTGGAGTTCCAGGCATACTTTGGGCAGGATTATGCCAGAACGGCTTGGATCCACTCCATTGTTGACTGCGCTACAATGCTCTGTGGTGTGTATTACCCTTTTAAGACTAATGTGGCTGCTTTTTCTTCAGCTTCATCTGGCTTTAGCATGTTCACAAGTTGGTGGAGTAAGCTGGGAAAGATAGATACTGTGGGCTCTCTGGGGTATGGTATATCCAAGCTGCTTCCTGCAGCATAGTTGTGCAGGAAGGGAGTGTCTTCATACTACAGAAAAGAAGCAGAACTTTGTTTTGTCAAATAAGCTAAGTTTTCAGAAACGTACTTTTATCTAGGTCTAGTGGGACAAGTTGTGTTTGAGAGCTACTAACTGAGCACTTTTTTCTTTTGCGTTTTGATTGGAATCATATTTGAGTCTTAGCACAAGATGTACATCTTACCTTCAGATCAAGTCACAGTCATCCTCCTTTTAGCAAACTTGTATGTTTACAAATAGTCTTTTCCCTTAAAAGAAAATTCAGTGTTACTAAAAATGACATGCACCAATGCAGCAGTTGTACCAAATTTCTCATGGGTTTACTTTAAAACCGTACAGCTAGGTGAAAATCCATGTCCTAATCCTGTGGAAAAGGGTTAATCCATGAGAATTGCTATGAAGCCACAGGGACACAGCTGGAATGAGACATAAGAACTCTCTGTGTCAGCCAGGTTATACCTTGGGGAAAAAAAGAGAAATAAGGATAACATTGCCCTGGCATTGCAGGTAGTGGCGAGGAAGAGGGCTGGTGATGATGCCCCATGGTAGAGGGAGGGTGATCTGGGAGCCATCAATGTTGGAAAAGTGCAGGAGAGGGGTAGCAGCCCTGGAGATGTGCCAAAAGATGTAAGACCTCTCCTGTTTGGAGAGCTCATAAGGCCAGGGAGGAGCGAGGAAGGACGCCTGAAGTTACTGAGGGTTGAAGTGCAAATTCCAGGTGGAGGAAGGCCTCAGTGTTGTAAGTGTGGAGTAATGAACAGTGTGGGCTGTCGCTGTGGCTTCTCTTGACCCCAAAAACTGCAGAGTAGCAGTGTCTCATAATGACTTTGCTCTACTAAAATGGCTGCTGAGAAAGCTACTGTAAATTTCAGTTTTATCCTGACTTTCAGGAAAATGATTTTTAGAAGTATTTTGGTGCTCACACCATTGTGATGGAGGAGATGCTGGAAGACCACTCTGTGTAGCTGTGATCACCATTTTCTCCTGCTTGCCTACTGCTTCCTTTCCTTGATGACTGTTGCAACAAACTGTGTGTGAGGACCTGCCATTAACTACCAGATTTATTTGTTTCTTTGAAGCCCCACTTGGGAGTTTAATCAGTAATCATGTATCCTGCCAAGTTGGTATCATGCTAGGAGGCCTGCTTGCATCTACTGGACTAATTTTGGGTTCGTTTGCCACCAGCCTGGAACATCTCTACATATCATTAGGAGTCCTTACAGGTAGGAGACATTCAGCTCCTTTGCTCCTGCCAGGAAAACAACACAGGAATGTTAAAAATGATGGTCCTTCCTTTCAAGAGGAGTGATCTCTTCTCCATGTTGTATTGCCACCGCACTGGTCAATAGAGATCCTCAGACCTGTTCCCTTCATTGTAAAAGAGAGGCTTTGGCTGGCCCTGTGAGGGCTTCAGCACTCAGTGAGTCTCATACAGCCCAGATGCAGCACACTGCAAAAGCAACCCTTTAACTTCTGTTAGAGAGAGGACTATGGATAAAGTTCTGAAATTATGGGAGGCGAGGAAGGACTCCTGTTGCAGGTGATACCCAAAATGTTTCCTTTTTTGCCTGTGATTTGGGAGGAGTTTGTTACGGTAGGACTTCTAGACTGCCCCAAAATATTTGCATATTAAAAAAAAAAGTTTAAATAAAAACAAAAGAGTAAGTGGGCAGAGGACCACTGGGTGAACACCTGGAACCTCACCTGTGCACCTTATTTTTCTGCATTCCATTCCATTTGAAAAGCAAACAAATTGCTGGTTGGTAGTGTTGCTGTAGCAGCTCCTCCATTTGCGTTCAGGTACAGTGATAACAAATATCTTTGCTCTGTCCTATCTCCCTATGTTTGCTGTGCACAGAGGAACTTGAGATGTGCCCATGGTCACACTGACATTCCTTCCTCATTAATACTGACCTGGTAGCCACGGTGATATAAGCCCTTGTACTTGGTTCCCTGCTGTTTAGTAACAAGTTGGTGGAATTACTGCAGTTCACATGCTGCCAACAGCTTATTTGTTTAAAAAAAAAAATAAAATCCTTATTGTAGTGCATGCCACTCCTGTATTACAATGTTAATCTTTGACAAATGTGTTCATAACAAATAAAAAGGCTCCTTGTAACTCGAGGGACTGTGCCATGCTAATGCCACTGAGGCTTCCTTAGCAGCGTGAATACTGAGGTGGAAAAGCAGTTGCACTTTGTACATGGAGTTGTAAAGAGCCAATTCTACAAGCAGTGAGCCTTCTAGTCTGTGGGGACTGATTAATGGAGAGGTGAACTGTTGGTAAAGGCTAGAGGTGGTGCCCCAACCCAGAGAAGGAGGTGGGAGCATAACTGGTGAAGGTCTACAGCCATAAAAGCTGCAGGACTTGAAACTGTGAGGAGTGAAGCAGAGGTGAGATGGGGGAGTGGCAATAAGTAGCAGAGTTTCTTCTAAGAGGTATGAAAATGTTTTCAGCCCCAAACTTTGCATTTCCACTTTTCACAGGACATTTATTGGCTTTTTTTGGGACCTATTTCCCCCTGCCAACTCACTAAAAAATAAATGGTGTGTATGCCAAATAGAGTATGATTTTCACAGCTCTCGAGTGATGATGTGTAGCTCAGGGCTGCTCCTGCAGCTCTGCTGCCCACACAGGTCCAACCGCAGCTCTCTGCCCTGCTCCTCCCCTCGCCTCCTGAGGGGTGCCAGAGCGGGCACCTGCCACCCAGAGTCCCTCTAATCCTCTTATCCCATCCTGGCAGACTTAGTGCCCGCCTGGGACAGTGTAGCCTTTGAGGAGGACACAGCAAGCTGTTTTCGGCGCCGGGTGATTGTCTCCTCTATTGGCAAGTTCTGCCAAAGGCAGTGGGGACCATTTTACCCTCAATGTAGCACATGCTCCAAAAACCTAGTCAGGAACTCATTTCTGCAGCTGATTCAGAACTATGTTTTAGTGTTAGGGCAAGCATTTGATGATTAAAATCTGTTCTCTGGTTCTGCAGCAGAGACCACAATCTTTTTCCCGGTCCAAGAGATGGATCTTATTTGTTTACTAAATTGGACATGGCTTTGTTTTCTGAGGCTTTTCCCCCTCTTTACTTGTAGGCAGGGATTTAATGGTCAGGACTCCAACCAGCTGCTGTGTGGAGTTTATTTAGCTGACAAAAAAGGTTTATTGTAGAATATTAGTAGCAGAGACAGACTCTGTACCGTGTTTCAGAGACCTGAAAATTAACGTTCAGGGTTGCAACAGACTGAAACACAAAATGGTGCCTCATCAGGACAGTGTGCCCAGTGCCAGCATCTGCACAGACCCTGGGGCAAGACCTCATCCTGCATCCAGGAGAAGCTGACACACTATTTCTCTGACGTTTATTGATCGTCCTTGTTCTTGTTAAGTGAACCCCATCGCTTCTTTCTGAGCCTTGTTATCATGGATTAATGATGATCTGTTAGGTTTGTCAAGTCAGTGACCCTGACAGTGGAAGAAAGCAGTCATCCTGGTTTCTCTTCACACTGTGACTGAGCTGTGTGATACAGAATCAAAAAAATTCCTATTCATTTGTGCTAATGAAAGTAGGTTATGTGGTTTAATTTAATGTATTCCATATGTCATGCTCAGTATTAAGCCATCTGCACTGTGCTTTCTCTTCTAGGACTTGGGTTTGCACTCTGTTATTCTCCAGCCATCGCAATGGTGGGCAAATATTTCAACAAAAAGAAAGCGCTGGCATATGGAATAGCCATGTCGGGAAGTGGAATCGGTACCTTCATCCTGGCCCCCGTGGTCCAGCTCTTAATCGAGCAGTTTTCCTGGCGTGGAGCTTTACTCATCCTGGGAGGTTTTGTTTTAAACCTCTGTGTCTGTGGTGCCTTGATGCGGCCTATTGCTCTTAAAGAGGACCGTAAAACTGCTCCTGAGTTTCTTGAACAGGATTATGTCCCCGAAGCACAGAAACGAGACTTAAAGCGAATGTCCATCTGTTCACCTTTAATCAAAGCATGGTCTCATGAATGTTTATGCTACTGTTCATGGAAGGAATATGACTTTTTACTGATGCCAGACTTCATGGTGCTGGCAGTGTCGGTTTTATTTATGGCATATGGCTGTAGCCCTCTTTTTGTCTACCTAGTGCCTTATGCTTTGAGCGTTGGAGTGACTCATCACCAGGCTGCCTTCCTCATGTCCATACTTGGTGTCATAGACATCATTGGTAATATCACCTTTGGATGGCTAACAGACAGAAGGTAATAGCTTACAGCTAAGCAAGTGTAAGCGTTAGCTGGTGAGAGGCTGGATGCAAGTGAGGTATAATACATATAAAATTTAACATTATGGGCTTTTTCTGTAGGAAGTGTAACTTTAAAAAAAAAAATCACAGTCTAACCTTCAGAAATGCTTACTATTTAATGTTTTTGTCTCTTCTGAGTTTGTTCAATTCTGCTGATTTAATTTCTTTTTTTTTCCCTGAAGAAATGATGTGTTTCTGCAAAGCTCTTGCATTTGGCAGTGGAAATGTAACCCCCTGCCTGAAGTATGTTGAGTGTGATCCTCTGTACCTATTTCCTAGAGGATCTCACTCTACTTCCTCTGCTTTCCATCTCTTTTGTGCTGCTGGGGAGGCACAGAATTCATGGAAAAGGGTCAAGGGTCTGGCCTAACACTGTCAGGCATATACTCAGAAGAAATGACCTAAAATTGTTACACATTTTTCAGTATATGAGAGCTCACCATGCTTTGCTAATTCAGCTCACTCCAAACATCTGTGTGCAGCATCTGTAACATCAGGAGAGACTGGCTAAATTAAGAAGGATTTTGATTCTAAAGGACACATTCCTTGTGCATATTCAATTTGTGGGAAAAATCAATCATTGGTTTTGTGGGGCAGGGAGAAAGGGAATTGCCATCTCACTTAGCTCACACAAACTCCAGTGTTTAAGGGCTGATGTGAAGAATGACAGCTAAGAGAGCTATACTGTAATATTTTTTGCATAATACTGGGAGCACCTTGCTGAGCTGGGATGTAAAGCCTGATGGAATACTGCTTTGAACATTGAAACTTCAGAGGGCTGCAAAATCCTGGCAGCAGAGTGGCTCCCCTCACTAGGGGCAGCCCGAAGAACACGGCAGGCAGCATGGGCTGCTGCTTACCAGATGTTTCTGCAGCTGTCAGTGGGCA